AATTCACCGTAAATTAAAGCAGTGAAAAATAAAATAAACTTAAAATTGCTTAAAAGAAGAAAAAGAGAAAAGAACTACACTAGCAGCAACAGCGAAGATGACGTGATGAAGAGGATAACTCCTGATGAAGAGAGAGAAAGTTAAGAGAGAGAGAGTATGTGTGGTGGGGACCTGATCACAATGGAAGTTAAAACTTACAAAAGGCCCACCTGGATAAGTCATTTTTATTGACCCCCTCAATAAACCCCATGATCTAGACAGAGTCCTAGGGGTGGCAATGGGTCGGGTCTTGCTGGACCCGGGTCCAAATCCGAATAGTATTCGGGTCCAAAAATTGGACTTATACATGTATTAGTTGGATCCTGAGTCTATCTCGTCGGATCCCGTGTTAGGTCAGATCCCGTGTTAGGTCGGGGCCATTACCACTCTCAATATGAGCTGTTTAATTTTTTATTTTCTTGTTTTTACCATCATATATCTATATTATTGACAACAAAGTCACAAACTGTCTGATTTATCGTTTAATTGCTAAAGATGACTATAGATCTTTATTATATACGATCCTTAATACATCCAAACGATTAGGGCTTAAAGCATTTTATTTCTAACAATTTACAAGTATGGGTCGAATCCAACCGGACCCAGACTTGGGCCCAAACCCAAATAGTATTGGGTCCAGGTTTTGGACCCAGACCCGACCCACGGGGTACAAATGTTAGAACTCATACCCGGACTTGTGTTGGGTAATACCCGACAGGCCTCGGGTTGGGCCTTGGTCCTTTATCACCCCTAGAAAGTCCCTTGTAAAGGTCTGGCAATGGGCCGAGCGACCTAGCCTTAAGGAAACTAGGACTTGGGCTACAAACTATGGTGCGAGAGCCAAACTAGGGCCAATACCGACCTGGTTTGGCCGAGGCCTAACATGGCTAAGGGCAGCCCTATGGGGAGCCGGCCGCCGGGGCAAGGTCAGCCCGTTGCCACCCCTGTGTCCTGCAAAATGGGCAGAAGGGCATAGGGCAGTATACAATCGTGGGTCATTTTTTACCTCCAAAAAACGATAAATCCCTACATTCTATTGAGAGACGCACTCTACAAAACGAAATTGAAGGCCATTTAGGGACAAACCCAATGATAAGTCACTGTAGCCCTAACTGGAAATTAACTTTTAAAGCACAAAAAAAATTACTCCATAAGGACCACGCGGTAAATTAAAGTCCATGAGGAAGTAAAGAGATAAAGGGAGAGAGATAAATTCGAAAATGGACGGATAAAGCCTGAAGATGACAAATATACCCTTTATTATTCTGTGACATGTGAGGCCTGTACTCTAAAGTCAGGCATTCCTATAAAATGACAAGTATATCCTTTACACATGAGGTAAAGAGAGTGGAATAAGCCAAAAGATTTCATGCTTCTGAGCATACTGTTCATTTACTCCTTGGGATAAAACTCAATCTAAAAGTACTTTTAGGACCCCAAAGTTTAGATATGTAACCTCATCCCATATGTTAAACACAGTAAATTCTTTTTTCGCAATCACATTCTCTATAGCCTGGAAGAAGTGATGCTTCAAGATTAAATAGAAACCGTCCCATTTTTGAACGGTGATATCTAAGTATTAGAAAACTCACAATTTGATTTTTTTTTTTTGGAACGTGATTATCATCATCATCTAAGCCTTATCCCAATTATTTGGAGACGGCAACATGAATCTTGTTCTTCCATTCTTCTCTGTCAATGGCCATACTTTTAATAATACTATAATCATCCAGTGATTTTTAGATGGTTCCAGAATTTTGGATAAAAAAAATTTCTGAAATTTTTTGCCTAAGGGAGTACGTATATAGTATATTACCAAAGAAACATAGCATATGTGCTCTTCATTTAATTTAGGAGCATACCCTTAAGAACCATTATTGTAGTAGGGAACAAAACAAACTCTAATTTCAAAATTGGATATAGCAAACTTGGAATAGCCAGAGAGCTGGATCAAAGGTGGCAATTTCAGATTGAGGAATCCCAAAACACCCACTTTTTGTCTATGTTTTTTATTTTTCTATTTTCTTTCCGAACTGTGTTCAATTTGGTGTGAAAATCGCTTGATTTGTATGGGAATCAGACGCCTTGCCAATTAGGGCTTGATTATCACATTTAGATCACTAGACAAAACAATAATGGAAAACAGGTATTTGTGTCATTTGATGGGGGTTTCACCTCATTGTGCCATTAAAAGGTGAGGTTCAGGACATCGTACTTCAGAAAATCACCACTAAGGCTAGAAACACTCCACTAGGCTCGAACACTAAGAAGAAATGGGAGACATCTACTGAGTACTGACTCTCCAGTGTCCACTCTCCACCTTCGAATGTCGAATGTCGAGTTACAGAAATAATACAATTATATTGTAAATTCAATAATAACTTTATAATGGAATGTGAGGCATTTTTAAGTGAATTAAAGGGCAAAATGGCCTAATAAAGCCAAATAAGTTTGGTGTGCAAGAGTTCAAATTTTAAAAGATTGCTTGTGAGTATGACGATTTAAATTAGAATCGCCCAATCATGATCGAATGGTGGTGGATGGTCGGGGGTGGATGATCCTTAAAATCATCCAATTCTCACCATTTTTCATACTTTATTTTTGTCACTATTATATTCCCTAATTTATATAAGTGCGAGGCTCTAACAATCAAATTAGGGAACACCTAAAAATTTCACTAGAAGTGGTTGTTTTGATGCATAAATATCCTCAAATTGATCATCTCGACCTCAAGATGCAAAAAGATTTCAAGTTTTGGAAATAGTGCATCTTATAATGCAATTTTGGACCGTCAATTTTCAAGTTTTCACAGATACGCTTGATCTACACTTTTTTTAAACTTTAAATTTTATAACTAGAGATGAAAATATATTTTAAGACTATCACAAAGATTTTCAATATTGAAACCATATTTCTCGATACTATTTAAAAGTGCGCTTTACTACGATTGTTTAGAGCCTAACTCTATACAGCCCCACCCTTTTTAAAACGCTAATTTAAACTTGAAAGCTTAGGGGCGATTTGTCATTTATTGGTTAGATTGGGGGTGTTATAGTCAATAAACAGTGTATTATTAAGAGAGAGAACAAAAGGAGCGTGTGTCTTGTGTGTGTTTAGGACAGTAGGCTGACACGCAATTAACAAAACACCTCAATTGGAAAAGAAATGGAGAAGTTTACCCCGCGAGAGTAGGAAGAGGCGTGGACAAAATTTCTGACACGTACTTTGCCGTAAAACCCCCAACACGAATTCAAACCTGAAAATTACTTCTTGAGAGAGAAAGAAAAGAGATGAAGTCAATCAACAATTTGATAAAATATTTCTAACAATCAAGCTTATCGCTGGAAATTATGGGCCGAAACGGACGAGGTCCAGCCCGGCGGTTGTCCCCATAAGGCCAGCCCTCACCTGTCTCTAACCTTATTAGGGTCGAGCCAAGTTGGGGTAAACCTAGCTACATACTGGCGTTAGCCCCACCCTCGGGCCACTTGAAAATTATAAAAACTTGCACTTATTTTTTGATACAGTGTTTTCTTTTTTTTTGTATATCTATAGATTTATTGTATATATTACTATTATTTTTTGTAGCATACAATTTTGTAACATTATAAATTTGGGCTCTTGTTCATATCTTTCATAAGCTTTACAATATAAATAATTTTATAAATTGAGGCTCTTGTTCACATCTTTCGTAAGCTTTGAAATATAAATAATTTTATAAATTGAAGCTCTTTGTTCACGTCACTCTTAAATACAAATAATCTTATAAATTGAAGATCTTGTTCAGATATTTCATAAGTTCTGAAATACAAATAACTTCATAAATTGAAGCTCTTGTATACATCTTTCATAAACTCTGAAATACAGACCGACTACGCCAGTAAAGCCGCCCAAACCATTGCCAACCCTACTTGCAATTACCTAGAGAGAGAGAGAGAGAGATAGAGAGAGGGCAATCACAAAAACAAATTGAAAGGGAAATTTTGTAGAGAGAAGTGAGGGAGGGAGGAAGTTGCCATTTGCCTTAAAGCCCCACACATCAATTAAAGTGGAGAGAGGGATAGAGGGAAAGCCATTTGCCCTAAAACCCCAACACAAGAATTAAAATAGAGAGATTCGTGGACGAATACCAGACATGCAAATTGCCGTAAAATCCCAAGAACAAATTTAAAGCTGAAATCTACACAAGAGAGTGGCTAGAGAGAGAAAATGTGTGCGAAAGAGAGAGAAAGAAAGGGTGAAGAGAGAGAAAGTAGAGAGAGAGAGAGAAGGGTTGTGGGGAAAGCTCTATTATTATTGACCAACACAGGGCGGGGCCCTCCATCTGGGAAAGGATACCGCATTTAACCCTTTGGGAAAATGCCCCTCCCCCTTACTACCACGGCTCCTCAGTGCAAGAACTACCGCCAAACCTTACGTGGCAGTCCAACGACCGGAAACGGCCCGGGAAATCCAAGTGGCAGCCGTTGATACTGCCGGGAAAAGGTATCCGGCAAGTCTGCCCGGCAGTTGGGGTGTGGTGTGGGATCCGCGATAAACGCCCGGCACGTTCGAGCCCCTGTAAGCGGGCCCACTCTACAGCTGTTACAATGTGTTCCTGTCTCCACCGTTTCATCGATAAAGAGAGAGAGAGAGAGTAGAAAACCCAAAAAGAAGAGAGAGAAAGAGAGGTTAAAAAAGAGAAACACATGGAAGTTTTAGAGAGAGGGGAAAACCCAAAAGGAAGAAAGATTGAAAAAGATAAACCCACTCCGGATTACAGTGAAAGACGAAACAAGAAAACTGAATAGAAAAATGCAAAAAAAAAAAAAAATTAAAATAAAACTAGAGAAATATGGGAAAAAAAAAAAAAAAGTTTACAGAGAAGAGGTAAAAAACAAAAAGTAATAAAAGGTCAAAGAGAAAACTCAAAAGCATCAAATTTTTTTATTTAGGGTTGGTATTATTCTTAACACCCTGGGCTGTGGGTTGTGGGGTGAACAAGTTCTTATAAGCTCCGGGAATTCGCATTTGATTCCATTTGTACATTTCTTTTATACATCTACCGATTTATTTTAGTTCTCCCGTTATTTTAATTATTGAGCAAGCATTGAGAGAGAGAGAGAGAGAGAGAGGGGGTAGAGAGAGAAGGTGGAGAGAGAAAGTAGAGAGAGAAAGAGAGGCGTGAAGGTTTGGGTTGGAGACGCCCATTATCAGTAGAAGAGGGGAGTTGTGGTGGTGCCTTTGGGTTTTAACTATTATTAGGTCCCAAAGTAAGCCGAGCTGACAACGCAGCATCTCATTTCTTTTATGAATTTCCCGTCATGACCGTCATCATCATCCTCATCACTCGCTTTCTCTCTCTAGACCTCCTCTCTCTATAGACTTCCTCTCTCTAAGGCCACTGTGCTCCTCCTCGTCCTCCTGGTGCCGCTGCTGGATGTTGCAGGACGCCATATTGTTTATTTGGGTTCCCCCCCATTTGCTCTTTTTTCAGTTTTTAATCGCTTTCCAGCGCTCACTCGTAGGAGCCTCTTAAGCTTTCCAGTTGTCCTTCTTTTTCACCCTCTCAGTACAGATTTCCCTTTTCCCCCCCCCAAATTCCCCACTTCACGGTCCCTACTTCTCTTCCCCATCTCAACTTTCCCCTCCCCCTTCTTTCTCTCTCTAACCTTCAACAGCCCTCCCCCAATTCACCCCTTCTTTCTCTCTCTAGGCATCATGATGAGATGGTTAGAATGGCAGAGGCCGATGTACGGCCGACTTGACCTCTGACTCCATTCCCCATACGCCCAAGCTAGAGAGAGAGGGGGTAAAGAGAGGGAGATTAGCGTTTAGAGAGAGAAATGCAGCAAGGTGGGTCTCAATATGGGGTATCGCCAGAAGTGGGTCAGTTTGGGGGGTTGCCGGAAAACGCTTCCCCGATCAGTTCGCGGGCTCCTAGCGGCAGGAATTTCGAGGAGCTCGTGGGCCCGGCCGGTGGGTTCGCTGATGAGGAGGCTCTGGTGGGCGGTGAGGAAGGAGAGAGAGGGGCAACTGGTAATCGGTGGCCGAGACAGGAGACCTTGGCTTTGCTCAAAGTTAGGCAGGATATGGACGCAGCTTTCCGTGATGCTACTCTCAAAGGCCCCTTATGGCAGGAAGTATCAAGGTATGTATACTTTGTGAATGATTTCTAGCTGTTTGCCTGTTGGTCTGGTTCTAGAGGAGAGAGAGTGAGAGGTGGTTTGGGGTCGTCTGAATTTAGTAGAGATAGGAGAGAGTGAGAAGTGTGGGAGATAGAAGGGGAACAATTGAGATGAGGTGAGGGATGGGTCGGTGTTGCTGTAAGGGTACCAATTCAAGGTGAGAGAGTCGGAAAAGCCACTGAATTGGAGTTTCAGAGAGAGAGAGAGAGAGAAAGAGATGAGTTGATAAAATTCGGTAAAATACAGGTAGAGAGAGAAAGAGTGAGAGAGAGAGAGAAATAGAGGCTCGAGGGGGACTTGGAATTTAAATTGGAGCAATTGAGAGGAAAGGATGGAAGGTAGGTGGGTTGTTAGGTTTCTCCATGGGAGGATCCATTGGTAGTTCAGTCATCAATCGTCAACAGCATGAGAGAGAGAGAGAGGGGGGGAATTCCAAATGTGCAGAGAGAGAGAGAGAACTTCCAATTGTGTTGTTCTAGAGAGAGAGAGACTTAGGGGAATTCCAAATGTGCAGAGAAAGAGAGAGACTTCCAATTGTGTTGTTCTAGAGAGAGAGAGACTTAGGGGAATTCCGAATGTGCAGAGAAAGAGAGAGACTTCCAATTGTGTTGTTGAAGAGAGAGAGAGAGAGGTGTTGTTCTTTGAGCGAATGCTATCCCCCTATTAAAATCCACCAGTCTCATTCCTCGAATTATCCAACCATTAACAGTCCGTGATCAGTCAACCCCTTCAAAACCCACAGATCCCCTCCCCCTCCTTCCTCCTCTCTCTCTCTCTCTCTCTTCTCTTTCTCTCTCTAAATCCCAAATCCACCAATTCCCCCCTCTCTCTCTAGACAGAGGAATTAGCTCAGATCTGAAACTGAAGAGAAACTTTTAGAGAGAGAAAGATGAGTACATCCCGGTCATTCAGACCGCTAACGGTCACCTATGGTTCGTACCACGGAGCCTCGCGTCACGCATGCCGGTTCGGGCAACAGGCCGCACACCTTCTTTGATTCGCTCTCCCTCTGCAATTCCCAAAATACCCCACAAATCCTTTCCCTGAAACCCATGCCACAGCCTCCATTTGCATCACCACTCTCCAATCCCGATACTCTTCCTCTTCCCCCCACAAAAAAATAATAATATTTCTTTTTTTATGGAGAAAAATATAAAGAATATCAGTTTAATCAGTTGTTCTAGGTGCCCAATCTTTACAAATTTGACAAATGCATCTTGTTACCCTGAAATCCATTTCCTCCTTGGTGAAAATCTCTATTTTGCCCTTAGTTTGGTGCAGAGTCCTACATGTTAGGCTCATTTCCAGGAGAGTAGATGTAGCCATCTTTGCATGAGCATGTACTATGTAGTTTGGACTTCTATTTGCTCAAAATTGGAATGCAAATTGAGTGAAGTTCTCCTCCATTTCGGCATAAATCATTTTATCTTATAAAAATATGAATTAGTATGAAGTTGAAACCATTCAAACTCATCATGAGTGGTGACTTGGTCAGTCTGATCTAAAGCTAAAAACTATGTTCATTTTATCTTATAAAATATGAATTAGTATTATTTTAGCTATACTAGATCCCTAGCTAGTTTGGTGATTGCTTCGACGCGAAAAATTCGAAATGTTGTGCATTGATAAGAAAAGAAGCAGGGGGAAGATACCGAAAGAACTCACTAACGGACGGATACTTGATTTCTCCTTTCATATTGTATTGAATTAACTTCTCAATTTTTCATGAAGAAGCTCTGTCCGTTTTCGCTCTTATTTTTCGAAATTCACTATTTCAATCGTTTCAATGTCAAAAAAATTCCAAATGAATCTGAATCTCTAGATTTCCTTTCCATCATTTCACATTACTTATTTATATTTCTTTACTGCAATTTCACAAGAAAAAAACTGAGTTCCATCCATTATTACTAAGATGCCCCTAACTCCCTAGCCTAACCAGGGTTCCCTCAGGGTCAAAAGGGTAATATTTATCGAACCTGTCTAAATCCATCCCCTCTCCGCTTCTCGCTCCATTTTGCAGGAAGCTAGCTGAGCAAGGGTTTAATCGCAGCGCCAAAAAATGCAAAGAGAAGTTCGAAAACGTCCATAAATACTACAAGCGCACCAAGGAAGGCCGAGCTGGTCGCCAAGACGGCAAAAGCTACCGTTTCTTCTCTCAACTCGAAGCCCTCCACTCGAGCCAAGCCACCCCCACCACCTCGGCTCCACCACCACCGCAACCGCCACCACCACAAAACCCTAACCCTAATAATCCAGTCCCTCTCCTCCCTTCACCAATGGCCTCCAATCCTCGTCCCCAACCAACCCCTCAACTCCAAATTCCCAAACCTGCGGCTGATTTTCCGGCCACTGGAATAAGCCTGAGTTCTGGGGACTCGTCGGAATCGGACGACTCTGAAGGGACTGAAACTGTGGCAAAAGATAGCCGGAAGAGGAAGAGGTCGAATTCAGCAGACCAGATGACTACTAAGATGATGGATTTCTTTGAGGGACTCATGAAACAAGTCATGGAGAAACAAGAAGCCATGCAACAGAAGTTCCTGGAAACAATGGAGAAGAGAGAGCAAGCTCGAATGATAAGAGAGGAGGCTTGGAAGAGACAGGAGATGGCTCGACTGGCTCGTGAGCATGAGCTTGTGGCGCAAGAGCGAGCGCTCTCCGCGTCACGAGATGCAGCAGTCATATCGTTTTTGCAGAAGATAACAGGCCAGACGATACCAATCCCGAACCCACCAGCTGGACCCACAGTGCCCGTCGCTCCAGTCCCAGTCCCTGTTCCTCCTCCACCCACTGTAACAGCCATTGTGCCCACCACTCCAAACCCAACTCGACCACCGAACCCAGCACCCACACCCCCACCCCCACCCCCACCCGCTGCCCCTGCGGGTGCAGACCAAGATCTAAGTGGGCACGAGTCATCCAGCTCAAGGTGGCCGAAAGCTGAGGTTCACGCCTTGATCCAGCTGAGAAGTGGGCTCGAGTCCAGGTACCAAGAGGCCGGACCCAAGGGTCCATTATGGGAAGAGATATCGGCGGGCATGAGTCGGCTCGGGTACAACAGGAGCGCAAAGAGGTGCAAGGAGAAGTGGGAGAATATCAACAAGTATTTCAAGAAGGTGAAAGAGAGCAACAAGAAGAGGCCTGAAGATGCAAAGACATGCCCTTACTTCCATCAATTAGACGCGCTTTACAAAAAGAAGATCTTCGGAGGCGGTGTGAGTTCGAGCGGCGCAGCATCAGAGAGCGGCGGTGAAGTTTTGGCAATAATGGCAGCTCCGCCACCTGTGGTGGCAAGTGGGGGTGGTGGTGGTGGTACGACAACTCAGCAGGTCCAGAACGGTAACGGTCACGGCAACGGAGGGGGAAAGGATGGTAACGGGGGAGAGGGTAACGGTGGAAACGGGGGCAGCGTGCAAACTGGCTTCTACCAGAGCGGGGAGCAGTCCAAAAAGGTAAGACTGACGTGGATTTTTCTTATTTGTTTAATTGCCGTTCCCCCGTTACCATTCTTCCCCGCTCCGTTTTTTGTCGTGTCAATATTTCTTTCATTAAATGCCTAAAATACCTCAACAATATTTAAATGACAGGAATACCCTTTGCCCTTACCTTTTAAAAAATAAACAAACGAGCCATTTATTTTACAAGGAATGTGGTCTAACTTTGAAGCTGAGGGAAGATTTTTTTTTTTATTTTTTTTACCTCAATTTGGTTTCTATTACGAGAGAAACTACTTCAATTAGGCCGAAAAATTAGCCCGATCTCATAGCTCGAGGCCTCGTGGTTCTTAATTTGATAGTGACGCCATGTTAAAGAGATTTTTTGCTAATTTTAGTTGGGTTTTGGCTAAAATTGTCGGTGTGGCTATCTGCATTTGAATTCGATGATGCCGTATCGCTTGACATGCGCTTTCCCAAGATATTCTTCGATTCATCACCGCTATATCCGTCCTAGATTTTATCGAGAACTGTGCTTAATCATCGACCTAGGTTGCATGCCAGAGATTTTATCTATGGATGCATTGTATATAATCCCTTCTTTATTTAGGGGCCGAATTGAATTTTTTGATTCGAAATCTATAACTCTTACTATTTGCAGAATACAGAGAAAGTAAATAGAATTACAATAATTGACCTATAATTTGTGAGGATAGTCCCCTGTTAATGAATTATTTCAATTTAATTCAAATTTATTTCACTGTTTCTAAACATGAAATGCCTTCACTCCCTATGGAAACCATTTTAAAGAGGTCAGAATGTGGTCATTTTCCATAAAGAATGGAAATATGCTGCACATAGATAAGGCTGGAATCGTGCTTATACTTGTGTAGATCACCAATTTTTAAGTTTGTGTTGAGCTAGGAAAAAGGGTAATTTCTCAAACACATTGGGAACGTTGGTCATTTCAAAAAAACCATGGGTCCATGTTGGTTTTGAAAATATTGGGGCTTGGTTGGTCATTTATAAGGGGCACATTTATAAGGGGCACATTCCCCCTTCTTAATGTGCTTGTACATTAGCTACAAGAGGTAAGCCCTCATTTTATATAAGGTTGTAAAATTGAATAATCAAAGTAAGATGCATTTTCAAATATTTTTATGAAATTTTGGTGTCGAAATTGGTTAGGATGGTATGATAATCTGTTTTTATCTTTATTTATAAAAGTTTATATTTTAAAAATAGTTCAAATCAAACATATCTATAAACTTATAAAAATCTTGAAAATAGATGGTCCTGATAATTTATTGCAATATGTACTATTTTTAACACGCTGATTATTATTTTTTTGTATTTCTATATTTGAGAATATGTGGTCTGGATAATTTATTGCAATGTGTACTATTTTTAATACTTGGATTTTATTTTATTTTATTTTTTTCTATTATTATTATTTTATTTCTATATCTATACATCTCGATGTCAAGATGATCAATTAGATGTTTTTCCAACATCAAAACAACCTTTTTCAAAGGATTTGAGAGGTGCACCTTACGTTTTTCCTTTTTCTTGCTATTTTTGGCATGCCAAAAAGAATATATACTCCGGCGGGATCATTTCCTAGATGATACAGACCTTTTTCTATCTCAAAATGGTTTTTTCAATACTAAAGAAAAAATAAGTTCCATTTTTTGCTATAGTCCACGTTAGGGGTGGCAACCGGTAAGATCGGGCTAGACCCCGATCTGAACCTGAATAGTATTCGGATCCAAACTTTTGACATGTACCCAGCCCGTCGGGTCCCAGTCCATTGCCACCATTTGACTATAGGCTGTTTTTTTTTGCACTTTTTTAACGAGCACCTACCCTATGATTATGAACTTCTTTTCTTTTTTCCAATAATACTGTAAATTTTACCAATACTGTGACAATATGAACACTTAGTGTACACATAAAGACACATGATTGCCATCATATACCCTACGACTATAGGTACGGATCGAATCCGGCTGGACCAAGACCCAAACTTGAATAGTATTTGGGTCCAAAATTTGGACCCATACCCAGACCCGAGGTGGGGGTATATCCGTTGGGTTCAGGTCTAGTAGGGTCCATTGCCACCCCTAGGCCATGTGAATCTATACTTTTTGATGCAAATTTATTCAAGGGAAGTATTCTTAGTAGGGCAAGCTTTCTATGGTTCCCTATAACATAAAACTTATATACTTCCCCTTATCCAACCGTCTATTTTGAATGGAGGGTTAAGATTTGCCCCAATCACAATGTCACGACTCTACACTTTTATTTTTAATTTTTTTCTATAAACTATTTTGACACCAAATTTTGGACGTCCAATCCTCTATTAAACTTGCACTAGCAAAAAATATAAAAAAAAATAGTTCCAATAAAATAAAATGATCAAAATACCCCTGAAAGTTTCCACGGGTATTTTGGCCATTATATTTATCGAAAATTTATTTTTAATATTTTTAAAAGGTGCCCCCCAATGAGAAGATGGGAGGTACCAAATTCCATATTCATACAATTTGTATAAAAATAACTTAACATAAAATACTTTAAGACGTCAGATCTAAGATCAAACGTTGATTGACTCTCTTAATCAAAATTGGATGGCTGGATGGTAGAGGAAGCATGGATCTTTTATGCTGTAGAGGAAGTATAGAAACCTTTCCCTTCTAAGTAAACTGTTTGTAGTCTCTCTCAGCATACTTAGGGAAACTTTTCTATGTTTCTCCTGCAGCATAGAAGTTCTATACTCCCCTTTATTCAATCGTCCATTTTAAATGGAGGGCTAAGATTGCTCCAATCACAATATCACGTCTTTATACTATTTTATTTGTAATTTTTTTTCTATAAATGTTTTTGACACCAAATTTTGGACGTCCATTCCTCTATTAAACTCACACTAGTGAAAAATGTAAAAAACATATTTTCAATAAAATAAAATAACCAAAATACCCCTGAAAATTTTAAGAGGTATTTTGGTCATTATATTTTATCGAAAAATTATTTTTAATATTTTTTATAGGTGCGCCTCAATGAGAAGATGGCACATACCAAATTTCATATTCATACAATCCGTGTAAAAAAAAAACTAAAAATAAAGTACTTTGAGACTTCGGATTTAAGATCAAATGATGAGTGACTTTCTTATCAAAATTAGACGGCTGGATGATAAGGGTAGGATAGAACTTCTATGCACTAAAGGGAGCATAGAAAGCTTGCCCATGTGCTTATATCTTGGTTATTCTCTAGTTTATGTATAACATTGTGTTCACTTAAACACAGTCTCTCTATCAAAATGGATTGATTGGCCTTTTGTATTGAAGCCAGAAGACATTGTGAGGGAGCTGATAGACCTTCAACAACAGCAGCAGCAATCAGTAATGGACGACTACGACAAACTCGAAGAACCCGATAGCGATAAACTCGATGAAGAAGAAGACCAAGATGAGGAGGAGGAGGAGGAGGAGGAGGAAGAAGAAGAAAGGGAAGGAAACCAGCAGGAAGAAGAAGAAGAGAGCCGCAAATTACCATTCGAAGTTCAGTTCCAGCGGCAACCATCGTCCGCCTCCGCAACAAACCCCAACACATTCATGGCCATGGTCCAGTAAGCCTGCAATACCTTCTCATCTGTACCATATGTACCTACTTTTCTCTCTAAGAGGAGAGAGAAAGAACCAAATCTTTCTCTCTCTACCTCTAAAATTAGAGAAAATCACATAACGGCCTCGGATCGAAGCAGAATAATCAGAGACACTGAAAATCTCTTCTTTGTATCTCTGAGCAGAGACTCTCTACGGTTCTTTCTTTTCATTGATTTTCTTATTATTCTTCTTTTGTTTCTCTCTCTATTTGATTTTCTTTCTTTTCTCAATATTTAGGGATATGATCGGTCCCTGGTATTTTATTGATTTGTTTAATAGACGGATGAATAAATAATAAGATTGGATCACTCTGTCATTAATTCGAGTGTTGAGGTCAGTGAGCGCCGTTGAAGGGGTGAATGGTTCAGGATCCGAGGCGTGGGACCGACCTCCCCTGTACAATGGCTGACGTTCTTTTCTTTTTTCTCCTAAAGATGGGATTGCGTATTTTGCGCAAATTTTGTAGAGCAACCCTCCCATACCTATGTATAGGACACCATTAAGTTTAGCATAAATTTTAAAAAAATTATTACAAAAATTGATTTTTTTAAAGATTTGGGATAAATTTAATGATGATCTTTTGAAGTCCTACGCACATTATTGTAGGAGGGTCTCATATGACCAATACTCAATTTTTTATATACAAATTTTATATGATAATGCAACCTCTTTTCTTTTCTTTTTTTTTCTTGATAATGGATATAAAAAAAGGACACAGTTAACATGCGGGCTTGACAATAAATATATTTTTAAATACAATTTGATCCTAATTTTTAGATGTTATATAATTTTTAACATAGAAACTATAAATATGAAAAAATAAATAAATTTAAAAATTTAAAATAATAATTATATTAAGAAAATATTTAGACGGTTAGTTACAATTGTTTTTAGATGGACCATCTATTTGCATCCATCTAAAAAATGGATGCTTTATACATCTGGACTGCATATTGTACAAATGCGGTCCCGCCCGCATGAAACAATAGTTCAAAATTTATATATGGCTGCAACCTCCTCTTTTTCTTTTTTTCTTGATAATATATAAAAAAGTAGTTTATACATAGGGGTGAATAGTTACATTTGTGCCCCTAGACCACTCGTTCATTGATGGATGTGGAGTTGTGGGCTGTCTGGCAAAAAAATGGCACAATCAACAGTTTATAATTTTTTTAAAAAATTATCATTTTAAAAATTAAAATTCATTTATTTATACATTCAAATTATATATATCTAAAAAAATAAGTCCAAAATCCATCCTAAAAATATACTATGAAGAGGGCACTGACTTCTACATATGAGTCCTGGAATTCATAAAAACCATGTCCATGTATATAACGTGTAAATTTTATATTATAGAGGTAACGTGCCACTCAAAAAATAGGAGCAAACATTGTTTAAAACATTTTAATTGATCATATCGACATTGATATGTTTCCATATATAAAAAAAGAATTTTCAAGTCTTAAAAATAATGTATATTGTAAAATGTTGTCTGGGCCATTTATATTCAAGAGCTTCAAGGGATCTTAACCACTTTTGAATATTTATATTTAGGGTTGAACATGGACTTTCAAGCCACACTTCTGATACTAGAACTACTTCTTCCGATAAAATTTAGCGGGGCCCTTCCTTGTATAATTTAAAGTATGCAATTTATACAAACCTCACCCCGATTTTATTTTAGGTATATTGAAAGCTATGACACAATATGGAAGTTGCCCCTATCATTGGCTCTAAAATAGGGCAGCTAGAGGTCCAAAATTTTTTTATTCCATATTTCATGAAAATTTAGGAGACACCGATAGGGCTTCATACTTGATTGTGCATTATAAAACCTGCTTTCCCAATTTTTTTGTATCTGATAAGGGGTGTTTGATGTTTTCTTAGTCAAATTGTGTTATTCATTTGTGACTGGGATCCTTGAAATTTAGCTTTGATTGTCTTAAATAGCAAAAAATTTAAATTGTTTTTCAAATGAATATGATTATTGATATCAAAAGCAATTCCTTTTTTTTTGTGTCAACAAACTCATTATCTCCTGTCATCTTGCCCATGGCATGCTTCTTGTTGCACAGTGTGGGCCAATAATCAACTGTGCCATTTGTTATGGTCACTTGATTTACAAAGGAAAGGTTCAACCTGTTGCCCTTATCTATGGGATAGTATACCATGAGAATGTTATCTTTTCACATACAAGGGTCACACACGCACTTCAAGCAATCAGATGTGGAATCGGAATGCTGGGTTCTGTAATTTCTCTATGGGAGGAAAATTCTCTGACTTTGATGGTAGTAAAAAGCCCGTATCACATCTGATGCTTTGGGGTGATTTTAACTTGTCCCAAATGTAGATAATCTTATGGTATGTTTTCTTCTAATTTATTCTAAAACACCTATTTTTTTCTTTTTCTCATTTGATAGCCTTCATACTATTACAATTAATTAAAGGAAAAGTTTATATAAGGTCGCAACCTTATACTATTAAAGTTACTTACCCAAAAAAAAAAAAACCTTATACTATTAAAGTAAATGCACCTCAAAAGTTCTCTAGAAGAGAGTGTTTTGACTTTGGAGAACCCGCCAATCAATCATCTCGACTTCGAGATGTGTGGATATGAAGGGAAAAAAATTTTAGTTCAATGAATATTGCATCTTATAACAAGTTATCAAAAAGTGTATATTCAAGGTTTCAAGTATTTATAGAACTGCTTGGTCCTTATCAACTTTGAAATTTTAAATTTCATAGTTGGAGATTGAGATATACTTTCGAGCCATAATAAGGTTTCTGAAATCGGAACTTCATCTCCAATCAAATTTTAGAGATGTGATTACTTCTAAAGGGTGCCTTATACAAACCTCATCATTAATTAAATGGCCTTATTATTATTTGTTGTCTTTTCCTTTTTTTATGATGTTGACTTGGGACCTTGATGGGGATGGAACAATAGACGCCACAACGTGGAACCTCGTCTTCTACCATTGATGGTGGCGGCCACTGCAAAATTTGTATTTCATCTTTGTTCTGAATGAAAACAAGGAAAAATGAAACTCTTCCTTTCAATTGTGATACACACTCTTTCTCTTCATTTATTTGAGTGAGCTTATTATGCTCTCCATACACATTTATGGAGGTTTCTAGCTAACTAATCTTAATTAAATGACTGTGAGTGAGCTTACACATTAATTATGATTTGACATACACAATTGCTGCCAGCTTATGATATATATTTTTCTCTATCCCTGTCTAGTCTTATTTGAATAGCTTTGGTCTGGAGACACATTGAACTATTTCCCATTCATTTGCAATGATATTTATTTTTCTGAATGAATATCTAAGGAATACTACCATTTCTATCAAGGAACTTTACCGATTGGCCCCAAAGTTTCATGGGTATTTTCTGGACCAGAGCCTGCCTCCTGAAACCCCAAATTTTCTCATTTAAATCTGGTCCATTGCACTTCCATGATCAGTAAAAGGTTATGGGAACTTTTTGACATTTATAGGCAAATTTTACAGTCTCTCTCCATTTTAACCTGTTAGTTTGGCACTTCATGAATTCTGAAACTAAACCAAGCAATATATTCCATTTCCAAATATGGAAAATATGGCAATGAAAGGGCACAAAATAGCAATGATGTCTAAAATGGTTTCTATTTTATGGTAAAATTTTAGGCATCCAGGGCTTTGGATCATGTACCTTTACATTCAAATATCATTACATTATATTATCAGACCCCATTGAGTCCATTATTAAAGGAAATAAACAAAAAAAGAAAAGAAAAAAAAAAAGAACTGTTCCTTTTTTTTCTGTGTCAATTTAGCACTCCTATATTTCTAGGGTTTCCTGTTCTTATTTTTCCCTCACCAAATGTAGTAAGCCGAATAAATAAGAAAATCTGGTGCAAAAGATAGGGTTTTGGTGTGATTCTCTCCTGAAAAGAGCAAACTGAAATTACATGAGACCCATTAGGGTTCAGGTATCTTACCTATAAAAAGCTAGGGCAAAACTGTTGAGGAAAACGACTATGGAACTTTAGGGTTTCGTGCCATCTGAAAATGCCTGTAAATTATTTGAGTTTTTCCATTTACCATATTTATGCCTACTAAATAAGGGAGAGGGAGGGAGGGAGGGAGGGGGAGAGAGACAGAGATGGCCCAATAAATAAGAGGGGAAAGTGGTGAGTGTCAAATGCCAATGAGAATGTTCGGGTTTCAGAATCTTTTCTGAAAGAAAAAGCAGGTTGAAGATGAAAACAGAGATTGTTACCTTCTGTCAGAAAAAAGAAAAGAAAAATAAAGTTAAAGATGAATCACCCACTTTAAAATGTCCATAAGAGTAGGGTTACAGTTGAATATCTTCCCAAAAGAAAGAAAAAACCAGCTCAGAAAAGTGAAAGAACTCTATGCAACAAGCTAGGGTTTCTATTTTTGGGTGGATAACATGATAGCATGTTTTTTACAATGCTTTTCTTGCCCATCAGTTACAGTTTCTTGTCAGATAAAAGACACACTTCAATGGGAAAAGTGCATAACTTACTGAATTAAAGGGCAAATAACTATAAGAAACTGAAATAAATAATGTGACTGTGCAGTGAAAAACACATGGGTTTGGGCATTAAACCGTAAAAAGCAATGCAACATGGAAATGTGTGTCTGATGTTGTGTTTCTGCTTTTTTTGCTATGCAAAATGAACATTTGTGCCTGTCGTTGTGTTTATCGTTTTTTTTCATGCATAGCACACAAAGAGCAAAACATTTTTTGTGACTCGGTCCAGTTGACCCGGAGGGCTGTTTTACTCGTACTCGCTCGGTGCCTTAGTTGCATGTATGATTTGGGGGGTACATAATTTTTTTTTTAAATTCTAAAATTTGTAAAAATATGGAATGGTATATATATATATATATATATATATATTATGATTTAGATGTTTCTTAAAATGATTGGTGAGTGTTTTTTGCATAATCCTATTTCTATTTATTTCTTTTTTTGGATTTTTTTTTTTTAATATAAATCTCCTCAACTATAAATCAATTTTTTTAGATTCATTTTTTCTATATTATTTGAAGTTTATTTGGATATTGAGATGTTGCTTTTTGTTTGGTTTTAATTTTACTACCTTCATTTTATTTTTCATATTTTTTTTATTTCTTTTGAATTTTTTTTAGGGATCTTTTTTTCCTGGGGCGAGTTTGCTCGGCTCGGCCAAGGGTGAAGTACCTCAGCCAAGTTGAGTTTCTAAATGTTGTTCCACACCTTAAAATATAGGCACTTCTTATTAACCTTTTTTCTTAGGGTGCGGTTTTGTATTGAGCCTAGGCTCT